ACAATATGCAAAATAAAAAAAAAGGAAAAACAATGCTCTAATGCCAACAGGGCAAAAGGTACGCCCACGCAGGGGCTATCAATGGCACATAAGTTACAAAACAGTAATGTAACTGGTTATAACAACTAAATGCAGCTGCCCAGTCACACCAAAAACAGAGAGAGAGAGAAAAAAGAAAAGAGAGAAAGAAAAGAAAGGAAAAAAAAAAAAAAAAAAAGGGGTGGGGGCAAAGAGCAGGGATTCAAGAGCGCCAACACCGAACGCCATTACATCCCCAGACTAGCCGGGGGGAGTGAGGGAAGGGTATATTGCAACCACGGCTCCCATATTTTCAAAAATTTACGTTGGGAGTCGTTGCGGATACTCGACATCTGTTCGTTGAGCATCATAGTGGTCATACGATCCCGCACCCCCTGAAGAGGGACAAACGGACTCTTCCAGGCCTGAGCAATTGTTCTAGTGGCGGATAAAAACAGATAGGAAGCCAACTTCTGCTGGTGAGCTAAGAGGCCCGGTATGGGGCAATGAAGCAAGGCATACCGAGCATCCCGGCGTATGGAGAGATGGAACAAGGTGAAAAGGAGGCCAAATACACGAGACCAAAAACGAAACAGTCTCGGGCATGACCACCAGATATGTAATACATCACCACGATGACCACAACCCCGAAAACATTGATCACTACAGGCAGGGTTAGCCCGGGCCAGCCGAGCCGGAACCCAGTACCAACGAAACAATACCTTATAGGCTGCCTCCAGTGTGGTTGTATTAAATGAGCATTTAGCTATGAGTGACCAGGCCTTATTCCAGTCCTCCGGATCCACAGCCACTCCCAGGTCGCGCTCCCACTGAACAACATATGAAAGAGAAGTATGCGACGAGCGTCTGTTCAGAGCTGCATAAAGAAGGGATATAAGGCCCGGAGCGCCCGGACGCAGTTGGCAGAGCTGTTCAAAGGCAGATTTCTGGTACGGGAACGCAGAAGTACCCCGCAGCGAGAGCAGCCAGTGTCGCAATTGAAGATATCGAAAAAAATTCCGCTGGGGGGATATTCCGGGATTCCCGAAGAGAGTCCCAGGTGGGAAAGGACCGAAAAATCAAAAAGTGTCGCACCTGCGAAAAACCATTAGTCACCCACCAAGAAAACGCCCCTGGGTGATCCAAACCCGGCGGGAAAAGAGGGTTGTTAATAATTGGGAGCAAAGGCAGAAAAGGTGACATCAGACCACCAGAGTAATGCACTGAGTCCCAAACTTGTAGGCCATGAAGTAACATCGGACTCAGTGCCATAGGGCGCAGGGCAGGGGGAAGCCATAGAAGCGTCGATAGTGCGATAGGGGCACAATTAGGTAGTTCCAACAGGACCCAGAGGGGGACTGACCACAACACTTTCAATCAGTCCTCCTCTGCATCATTCAGATGTTCAGTGGCAAACTTCAGAGGGGCCTGGACATGTGCTTTCTTGAGCAGAGGGACCTTGCGGGCATTGCAGGATTTCAATCCTTGTCGGCGCAGACTGTTACCAATTGTTTTCTTGGTGACTGTGGTCCCAGCTGCCTGGAGATCATTGACAAGATTCTCAAATGTAGTTCTGGAATGATTCCTCACTGTTCTCATGATCATTGTCACTCCATGAGGTGAGATCATGCATGGTGCACAAGACCTAGGGAGACTGACAGTTGTTTTGTGTTTCTTCTATTTGCGTATGATTGCACCAACTGTTGTCACCTTCTCACCAAGCTGTTTGGCGATAGTTTTGTAGCCCAGTCCAGCCTTGTGTAGGTCTACAATCTTGTCCCTGACATCCTTGGACAGCTCTTTGGTCCTTGCCACCGTAGAGAGTTTGGAATCTGATTGGTTGATTGCTCCTGAGGAGAGGTGTCTTTTATACAGGTAACAAAATGAGATTAGCAACACTCCATTTAAGAGACTGCTTCTAATCTCAACTTTTTACATGTATGAAAGACACCTGGTAGCCAAAAATCCTACTGAACGATAGGGGATCAAATACCTTTTTCCCTCATGAACATGCAAATCAATGCATAATTTGTTAGACATGCATTTCTTTTGAATTTTTTGTTGCTATTCTATCTCTGTGTTACAATACACCTACCATTCGATTTTTAGACTGATCATTTTTCTTTGTGAGTGGGTAAACATTCAAAATCAGCACGGGATCAAATACTTATTTCTTTCACTGTATTTGAAATTCAAATTTCGTAAGATGGTTATATGCTATGTTATTCTGTTCTATCCTATTCCTTTATTTTCTGTTCTGTTTTATTCTATTATTTTCTATTCTGATCTATTTTAGTCTGTTTTATTCTATTCTATTCTTTTTGAAATTCGCATTTTGACATCTATATTATATTTTATTCTATTCAAAACTCAAATGTTGAATTTTGTAAGATGACTATAATCTTTTTTGTACTATTCTGTTCTATTTTTTTCTATTCTATTTTATTCTATTCTTTTCAAAATTTCAATTTCGAAAGACGGCTATATTCTTACTACTGTATTTTATTCTTGTTATATTTTGTTTATTCTATTCTTTTCGAAATTTGCTGACCAGTCATGTACCTGGTATGCCACTGGACTTCAAGTGGTTGTAAAGGGATGATACCTGCAGCTGCAGGCATCATGCCAGTACCATTTTTTAGAGTTAACTAGCCACTTGATTGCTATTACCAGCAGTGGAAGGGGATGTCCCCCTCTCACGCCACCTTCCACGGCCTGAACAGGCTCTCCCGTTCCACCCAGACTCCTGATCGACCAGCCGGCACTACCGCCAGCTGGTCACAGAGCTGAATAAAAATCAGATTGGCTTTGTTCGGCTTCGGTAAATAGTAACCCTGAAGCGATGACCTGACATCACTTCCAGTTTATTCGGAAATACATGGCGCAATTTTTAAAAAATAAAAGCATTCATAGCTATAGCCGCCAGCAATAATCACCGTGTTCTCCCGGCAGGGACAGCTTACAGTCAGTAGGATGTGTCCCTTGCTCTGCTGTCTCCTCTATTAGTGGAAATCCTTTTCTATTTTTCCCCCTTCTACACCCACCACCATAATCCTCTGGTGCGGCTGGGGTTAATAGAGCCCATAGAGCAGGCATGTCCAAAGTCCGGCCCGCGGGCCATTTACGGCCCGGGGGTCGGTTTAATACGGCCCTCCAACAGCCCTCCCTGCTCTATGTAATGTGGCCCTCCCACGGCCCTCCCTTCTATGGCAGACAGTCTTCTGCTTGAGAGCAGAGGGCGGCGCGTTCTCCCTGGTCTGTGTAAATGCGGCTGTCGCACGGCCCTCCCTTCTGTGGCAGACAGTCTTCTGCTTGAGAGCAGTGCGCATGCGTGACTGCGCCGCGCTGGGAGCGAGAGAGGGAGGTGACGTCAGGGCCGGGCTTCCAGCGTGAAGTGTGTTTCTCTTCCCCTCCCGGCTGCCGAGCAGAGACTTCAGCTCCAGCTACCTTTTTCACCCTTCACATTAGTGCAGGTAAGTTTTTTTTAAATTTGTTTTCAATACATTGTGAAAACTCAGCTGTCAGTTGATCTTAATGTTATGAAATGAAAAGTGTGTCGTTTGCAATTAACTTGGCATAAAATAATTTATTTGCATTTAATTGTAATGGTTCCAAGAATGTTTGGAAAAATGTTTGGCCCTCCACCATGTTCACTTCATCCAATCTGGCCCTCTTTGAAAAAAGTTTGGACACCCCTGCCATAGAGTTATGGCAGCCACTCATCAAAAGTGCAGCCAATGCCTGCTCTTTCCGCCTAGCTCCTCCATTCACAGAAGCTGTACTGTAGCTTCTTAAAATGAAACAGGATCTATGAATTGAGGACAGGCAGATAATTGAAAGTTGCCCCCTCCATGCATAGATCATGTTTCATTTATAGAAGTTATTGCAGCAGGAGGAAAAGGGTGGTAGGGTGGTTGGGGGGGAAAGGTAGATATTGATGGAGGAAGGGATTTTAGCTAATAGAGGAGCCAGCAGCACAAGGGACACATCGTAGTGACTGTAAGCAATGTCCCTTGTGCTGATTATTATTTTTAACTAATGTCTGGGACAAACTATCAGTATTTTTCATTCAACCCAGCAGGCTGAACGAAAAAACACTGAAAAGCTCGGGAGGAGTTCGCTGTACTGACTTTCAGTCAATGTTGATGGGAGGAATTCCTACTGCAGCACTATTATGTTCTGCCGGCAGAACACAATGATCACTACTAGTGGTTATAGCCGCCAGCAGTGATTGAAAATAAAAGAAAACAGACAGGCTGGCTGTACTGAAATCACTCAATGGACTGACTTCAGTACAACTAGCCTGCCCATAGATCCATCAATCCATCTATGGCCAAGTTAACGAGTCCTGCTGATAGTTTAAAGCTGACCATTTTCAATGGAGGAGGATTTCAGCTAATAGAGGAACCAGCAGCACAAGGGACACATCCTACAGAAGTAATGTCCCTTGTGCTAATTTTCTTTTTTCTCTAATGTCTGGTACAAATTATCAGATTTTTTTTTTCGTTCAATCCAGTGGGCTGAACGAAAATAAAATGAAGTGCTCAGGAGGAGCTCACTGTACTAATTGTCCATTGTTAGTACGGTGATCTTCCCGCTGAGCTATTGTGTTCTGACAGGGGGGACTGCCCCCCTGCTAAAATACTCCAGTCGGCGCTCGCAGCCAGTGACATCCAGCACTGATCAGACCTCGATTGGATGCTGGTTTTCCAGCATGCCCATTCGACAGAAACTGGGCGTTCTGTTGGATAGGCTGGTGTACACAAGGGCGGAGCGTTGGACGATTTCCGTTGAAACAGCCACTACCGGACGATATTTGGCCCGTGCGTACGGGGCTTTAGGCTTAAGCCTACGCTGAAACAATCACAAGATGATTTATATGCAATACAGCTTTCAACTGTACAAAGCATCATTCTATCACTCGCTAGAGATGTTGTGGCAATTATCTACAGTACTTAAATGCTGTCATGAACTTAGCTTACCATGAATCTGATGGAGTACCTTCTTCAAAGCGAACATTCCCTACGGTTTCAAGTTCTGTCTGTAAGAACTGGACCAAGAGATCAAAGCTTTTTTTCGTCCTTTCAACTTCTCTCTCATGAAATGCATCTATGCTAATACATCAACAGAAAATAAAAAAAAAAAGAGAGAGAGAGACATGGAAAAAATTAACGATATCGCTTCAACTTCCAGAACTGCACACTGTAAATGTACAATAGACGTAAACAAAATGTCTAGATTTACAAGAATATATAAAGCAAGCAGCACGTTAGTGAGAGCTTAGCAGTGAATGTCGAGTCTGTTTCCTGAAATACCAATTTTTGGTGCACTCATCCTTTTAAAAGTCAACACCTCTCAATAATTTTTAAGTTTTTTAGGCATCAGCAGGTTCTGCTGTTTTTTTCATATAGTTATTGAAGCCTCTAATGAGGAAATGTACACAAAGTAGTTAATGTCTGCACATAAAGCTCTGATGAGTGATGCCCTCTCAACCTGTCTGGGTCCTGAAGAAGCCATAAATCGTCAAAACGCATTGACCTATGACAACTGGAAGAGCACACCTGATATATTTCACTGTATAGTATATATGCTGTTTACTTGCAAATACTTGTTTAGTGCTTTACTCCCAGTCCTTTTGAGAGATTTGCATTTTAGAGAACTTCTCGTCTCTCTAGTTTTGTGAGGCTTTTCTCTGTATTTTATATTTCACTTTATACATGTTGTTATATTTTGTAATAAAATCTATGTGATTATTCTTTTGAGTTAGATTAGTATCTAGTCTTGTTTTTTCCAAAATTCTAATGAAGGTGCCAGTGGTTTGCAGCTGCACTACCCGATTAGTTATTTTAAATAATGGGAATAATTTTAGACCAGTTACAAGTTGCCTTCCCATTTCCTGCCCCCCCCCTCCCTTTAGGAGCACCCCAAGTTTATTAATTACAAAAAAAAAAAAAATTGTACACACCTTTTTTTTCCCATTGTTCCTCATTCAAGTCAAGTGATTTCACAGGTCTTATTTCTCCCGCAGTGTGTGGGTCCTGAATGCTGTAGAGAACTGCATGACTTAAAGTAGCATTTCAGCTTAACTCTAACTAGCCTTAAAAATGTCCCATCCCCCTTCCTTACAACTATGCTGACTAACCTGTGTAAAAAAGGTGCATATATTTACCTATTTTCTGCCCACTCTGATCCGGTCTGGTAATCCGCCTCCTGTGTGTCAGCCAGTGGTAACTGCAGTGGAGAGGAGGGATCATGGACAATGGATGGGCCATGGCAGCCTATGGGTGACATCACCGCTCCAGGCTTTATCAGTTATTGTCGAGCACGGTCTCCTCTCTTTGCAGCCACCGCTGGCTGACAGAAGGAATCACATGAACGGGTTGGAGCGGACTGAAAATAGGTAAGACATATGGATCTTTTTTACATAATTTAGTTAGCAAAGTTTTATTTGGGGGGGGGGGCATTTTTAAGGCTAGTTAGGTTTAGGCTAGAATCCTACTTTAATGAAATGGACTATTCTCTGCAACATCCTCCTATAAGCCCAGGGCAACCTATTTAAAATATCCCAAGGGAGAAGTTCATTGACATGCTAGATCACAGCAAGTGGTTTGAGTGAAACTGAGCATCATTTAACCAGAAAGATGAAACGGCAGTGAGGTATGTTTGTGGAAAATACAAAAGGTACATGTGCAAATACAGTATGTAGCATGTTCAAAGATACAAATATGCATGTGCATACATGGAAAAACAACTCTATATAGTTTGGAAACTGTGTATGGATCTTTGTAGTTGCCTAGAAGCTTAACATACTCATCCATCTTTGATGTCCAGAAGTGTATTCTCTCTTTCAATGCACGCATCTTTTGAGACAAATTCTCCTCCATGTCTGCTTCTGTTCTGTTGCTCTCCCCTTTTGCCCATAAATCAGAGTTTTCCTGGTCTTTGTGGTGATAAAAGATTTCAGGAGATCTCAAAAGGTTTTGGTGACTTTCTGATGACTGAAGCTTTGATAGGTCCCATTCTAACTAAAACAACAAAAAACAGAAAAAAATATATGGGTATATTGAAATATTTTAAGGATGAGGACATACAGTGCCTTGGAAACATTTTTGAAAACCATTTATCATTTTCCTTCTACTTCACAATTATGTGCCACTTTGCATTGGTCTATCACATAAAATCCCAATAAAATACATTTTGGTTGTAACATTTCAAGGGGTATGAATACTTTTTCAAGGCACTGTATGAAGCATGTGGATGCTTCCTAAAAAAGAAGGCACACTAAATAAACAAGTGTTGAGGGAAAAATAAATCATGATAACACAGTAAAGAACATTCCTATGGCATGTTATGGCCAAAGAAGCACTTTCTCTGCCACTATGACACTATATGTGCTAAGAACTCAGTGCATTAAAGTGGTTGTAAAAGAAGAAGGTTTTTTACCTTCCTTGTGCTGCTCCCCCCACAGCCACCTAATACTTACCTGAGCACCCTCTCAATCCAGCGATCTGTATGAGAGCCTCAGCTGTCCTGGGACTCTTTCTCCTCATTGGCTGAGACAGCAGTGGGAGCAACTAGGGGGAGGAGCCAGAAGTGCCAACAGGGGACCCAAGAAGAATAGGATCAAGGCAGCTCTGTACAAAACAATAGTACGGAGCAGGTAAATATAAGTTTGTTATTTTTTTTTAAATGCAAACCTTTAATGCCACTTTAAGGGGTCTTGCATAAGGATAGATGGGTTCAGGACATGGAGTAGGGTCATTCAAACTAAGGTGGATTCTGCTGCATGATGAGAGGGACTTCTGCACAGTAAGCCTGGAACCCACAGTGGTGTAAATATAGCGATAGTAGCCCTAGTGGCTGTTATAGAGGCAAAGGACATAGTTCCCTATCTCAGAAAGTAGAATGTGAGGGGAAGATGGTCTTGCCAAGGTCCTACTTTGGTATTCATTTTGGCTTACTTTTAAAAAGAAGATATGAAAAATGGAAAAGTTCTAGTCACTAATATTATCTGTTGGCTCAATGTAGCTTATTTTCCCTCATTACTGCCTTATCATGCCTTGTTTGGCACTGTTTTTCTGTGTGGAGGTTACCATCTTGGTACAGGAACAGGGCTTCGCTTCCTTATATCACAACCTCCAAATCTATGAGACTTGTAGCCCGAGAAAGCAGTGCCTTGGATCTCACACTGCTGATATACAGCTAGAGAACAGAAGTGCACAGGTAAAGTGGCATGTCACGAAGTGCTTTGCTAATTTTCAGTACTTTTAGGGAAAAAAGGTAAATTTTTCATGTTACTGCTCAGGCATAATTAACATTTCTTGATGTCCCATTTTGTCTTGGATTGGATTGCAACTGTACTGTATATAAGTCCTGTATAATAATAATGTTCCCTGTAAGATGGTAAATATTCACATAAAGTGGTAATGAACCCAAAAACAAAAAATGTATTATATTGCAGCTTACCAATCCTTAGAAGTGGTGGCCACATTACTTTTCCTTTTTTTTAGGCTTTTTTTCTTTATTGTACCTGGTGATCCAGCCAATAACACATTTCCCATCTCTAATATGATGAAGTAATAAAGCATACACCTTTGAACAGAAGCTTTGTCAGTCTAGGGAGAGGGTAGTGTTAGGCTGGGTAAACACATGGGCCGTCACACTGCTGAATTGGCCGACATTCAGTCACTATACACAGCTGCCTGCCCTACAGAGTCTGGTCTAATGACTGACTTTTGTAGAGGGGACATACCGGAAAACCAGCATCCAATCAGTGTATTCTGGTAGGGGGAGAAATCCACCTGTCTGAATACAAAAGGCACGGTGAATGCGTTGCCACACCAACATCACTTGTGTTGGTACAGCGGTCTGTTTTTTTTTTCTTCCAAGTAGCCTGCTGGGTTGAGTGAAAAAAAAACTAGCAGTGTGTACCAAGCTTTAGGGCTAGCAGATTTAGATGGACTTGCCTAACAAATTGAAGTCAGCTAACAATTACAGGTACAGCAAACCATTTTTTTTTTCAAGTTGGGATAAAGCTTTTATATAAATGAATAAAAGCTGACCATTATAAGCACCCTTGTCAGTGGTACATGGTTTTTCAATTTTGTCTGGACAGCTTGGTCTGTTAAAGTAAGCTTAAAATAACAGACTACCTGGCAGGTTCACCAGGAGAAAATAAGAGAAAAAGATTAAGGGCCGTCTCACACTTGGATTACACAGGAATGCGTTACACATTCCCCTGCGATTCCAGTACGTTCCCGCACAGTGCAAATTTGCAGCCCATTCTTTTGGATTTACACAAGAACACAGAGAAAGCAGTGCATGACAAACACATGGCACTGCATTGCATTTGCGATCTGCATTTGGGGTGCTGTTAAAAATGCACTAGCAGATCGCAAAAACGGTGCGTTTCCAGAGTGGTGCAGGAAATGTGCACTGAACATGTCTTTCCTGGACTGCATTCTCGTGTGAACCAGTCCTAACAAAAGAATACTAATGCAGCCCCCACATCTAAGAATGTGTGAGCTGCAACTGAATACATTTTTGTTAATTATTTTAATAGTGCTTTAAGGGCAGGGAGGATAAGAGACATTCTTCCTATGGCTAATCTCTCCAATCCTGTGCTCTTTCATTTTTGCTAAGTTCCAGGACAGAGACAAAACACTCTCTCAATTCCTCTCTGAGCAAATCATAGCCTGACATGGCTAGGAAGGCAAAGAACATCCCCACTAAAGAATATAAAACATGGAATTTTTCCATCATAATTATGCAACAGTTTTCCTTGTCACTTAATACTTACGCTTTTCACCTGGAAGAGAAGTAATTGAATTCTTTCCCGTGGCAGCTGTTCCAATGTGCACTTCTGCTCTTTTAGCATTTCTAATTCTTCCCTTAGATTTCTTTTTATAGTCTTTACTCTCATGTTGTAGTACATTAACTTTTTCATCACTGTAGACTTTAAAACAATATATATATTCAGAAATATAGAATTGCATAGCAAATAAGACGGAAAAATAATAGAACACATTTATAGAAACAAAGGGAGTGGAAATGTAATCTTTTCTTCACCTATACGAAAGGTTCCAGTACTCTAGACACTCTAATTTATTAAAGCTAAACTCCAGGAATACAGCTAAATAATTATAAGGTTGCTGTTTTACTAGCCAAATATTAGTATTCTGTCCATCCAATCATGATATGTAGACAACTCTGCCATATGGCACAGCCCAATCTAGTAGGATAGGGATGCTGTTTCACTTTCACTAACAGGTCCTCTCCCAACCCTCCACCCTCACCCTGTAACTGGACAGTGGAAAGAAAAGCAGCGCACAGATGAACTAATTTTTCTGTCAACCGGATCTCTCATCCTATAAGCATGCACCTTGCACAGCAGCACACCCATTTGGTACCTCGTGCTGCTTCTCCTTCCTCTTATCTAAGCTCTGGTTTACCAACTGTACAATAGACTGCAAGAGGCTGAAACAAGGTCAAACTTGAGCACTTACACTAGTTGCTTTTAATGTATTTAATAAATTAAAATTAATGATGTTTTAATGATTACACAACTGCATTATTTTTTATCTTTCATATCTTTCTGGAGTTTAGTTTTATCTAGGACAGAGTGTTGTACACATACATTCACTATGGAATAATACCAGAAATGGACCAAAAAGCTCACTAGAGTAAGTACTGAAGGTATACAGTTTGCAACAACATAACTCACTTCTGCTACATCCTTGATTGTTTTTTGGGACACATTATATGTGTCAAGTCTCTGAAGCTGTGGTATATGGTATAACACATGAGTAGCGTAATTGCAGAAAAGGCACACTGGATTAGGGGTGTATTGTGGATCATTCAGGCCTAAATCCTTTATATTTTTAAGTCGTGCTAAATGTGTGAGTTCCTAAAAAATAATGGAAGAGACATAAATAAAGAGTTCACAAACATAGCCATACAATAATTTATCTTCGATAAAGAACATAATGTGAAAGTCATTATTCTAAAATTAACTGAATAATGTTTACAGTGATAATATCTAAGCAACTGAAAGACAAAAGCTGATTGGTTGTCATCAATTACTGCACACAACTACTGTGAATACATCCAACTGAAATTAAACATCTGATAAATGACTGCATTACACTTCATACAGGTTTTGAGTAATAGTCTCATATTTGCACCAAAAATGGCTATATTTACCTTAAAAGAAGAAATTTTATTACCCGACAGGTTTAACCTTTCAAGATTGACATTTGGATCCAAGCAATATCCTGTTAAAAGAATCAAAGAAAGGACTTAGTGTTCAGAATATCCGTGAAAGTATTGAAACCAGGGGCGGACTAACAACTCATGGGGCCCCTGGGCAATAAGGTATCATGGGGCCCCTGTGTCCTTGCCCAAACTCAAAAAAGCCTATGAAAAATGTACCAGGGGCATCTCATGGGGCCCCCTACTGCCCCCGGGTCCTCGGGTAGTGCCCGAGTTTCCAAATGGTCAGTCTGCCCCTGATTGAAACTGAGATCTGAAGAACTCAAATTGTGTTCAGAGAATGGGGGAAGCAGTACTGAACAGTCGGCCAGATTCAATTCTCATGTCTGTGTTTAAAGCGGATTTCCACTCAACCTCCCTCCACTGCCATATTTAGCACCTTTTGGGGGGGGGGGGGGGGGGAGCGAGTACCTGGTTTTGACAGGTACCCGCTTCCACTTCTAGTTCAGTTTGCCGTGGCAAAGTGAACCGGAAGTTTGGCCCCCTCCTTGCTCCCGCAGTCTCCTGGCAACGTTCAGAGGTCCCAGGAGCCTGCTGGACCAATCAGGAGGTGCGGCGCGACTCGCGCATGTGCAGTGGGCACCAGGCTGTGAAGCCAAAAGATGTCACAACCAGGTGCTCACAGTAGAGATGCCGGCGCTGTGGAGGACAGAAGGAGAGAAGGGACTGCGCGGGTGAGTACATCGCTGGATAAATTGCACTTACAAGATAGTTAAAAAGACTCATCATGTGGTGTAATAAGATCCAGGTGGGACATCCAGCCGTCCAGCAGCAAACTCTGTCTATAGCATCAGGAAGTAGAGCCCAGGATGTGCCCATGACCGGAAGTGCGATTGCGGCCATCTTGGAAGTGGGGAACATGTGGCCAATGTTCCCCTGATTCTGTCTACACTTGGATTCCTTGTGAGGAGAAGCTGTTTTCACTGAAATTGTATGCGAGTTACCAAATAAAGGAGGATATTTTATACATTATCTGGGATTGCGGATTTTCTTGAGGATAATGGAAGAAAAACCCTAATATTGGATGAAATCGCTATGAGGAGAAATCTAACCCTGAGTGGTGTTATGCCTTGATGTTTCTCATATAGGGTGTACTATCATCAGGATTTGCGGATATTGAGAAGGAGTTTTTGAAAGAACAAAGAAAATTATTTACACCTGTGGGGATTATTGTTGAATTTTGGATATTATTTTGGATTATTTTTTAATTATATTTGGGATATTTTGGACTATTTTTATTTTTATTTGTATTTTTATTATTTTGTCATTTATTTGTGAAAGGGAAAAGTTTTATATTTTTGCCTCCAGCATTGCTCCTGTTTCTTCTTGCTAGAGGCTGCCATTTTGCTGAAGCCCCAGAGACCCTGAGCAGCAGTAAATCTTTAGGATGTCAACAGACTGGCCTCTACATTTTTGGCACAGTGTCAAAAAATAGAGAGCAACTGAGTATGTGCACAGCAGGGTAAGACAGTGTATTACTGGATTTAATAAATAGTACAGGCAATTATTTCTAGTATTTTACATAAACATAACTGCAAAAGGGGTCAGCCTGAAGAGATCTAACAAAACATAACTATCAGACTAAAGTTCCACTTTAAGACATATTTGACAAAATGCAGATGGAATGTAGAGTAAGGAATGTAGAAGTACAAAAGATATTTTGTAAGTATACCGAATAAAAAATGTGATTTTTACAGTGAACAAGTGAACAGTCTTTATTGTTAAGAATGGAGTACTTACAATTGTGTTTTATTTTTGTTTTTGTTTGCTCTAATTAGAGATTAGGAATTTTTGCTACCAGAGTATAAATTTGCTCATTCTTGGCTGGATGTGATAGCAAGTGATACAAACATTTCAAAAGTCAGATTGGCACCAGGGGATACTGTGGGCAATGTATGTTCTCACTGCAGCACATGGTGGTGGCTACTATGTGTGTGTAAATAAAAATAGAAGAAGAGACACGCTCTCACCACTTGTGCAGTGCGGGCCGGCCATGCCATCGTGACGGCTGAGGCCATCCTCTACACATGGGACTGCACAGGTGGTGAGAGCAGTTTCTCTTCTTCTCCTCCTATGTAAGTAACTGGACTGAGACTTGGACACCACTCCCCTGTATTTGCCGGTGAGGTGATTTCTCCAACACTCAGCTTCTGAGCACCACCACATCTCATGCTTCAGTATTTGTATATAAAAAGAGTTAACTGCTTAGTGGCCATCACTCTCAGTCTGCAGGTGCCTAGAATATTGTCCAGCAAACTGGAAAGTCTCTGAAGAGTGTGAGAGGCTGAGAGCATAATTGGCACATGGATATTGATATTGGTCTCCTCCTCCCGCGCCCGATTGCAGGACTTCTCCAGGACTTTCCCCATCCTCTGGAACTCCCTACCCCAATCCATCAGACTGTCACCTACCCTCCTCACCTTCAGGCGCACCCTGAAAACCCATCTCTTCAGGGAAGCCTACCCCACCCTCACCTAACAACTGATCTCCACTTCTCCCACCACTCCATCCCCCACAGCCACTTCCTCCTGTACCACTTTCCCCTCCCTCCTAGAATGTAAGCTCGAAAGAGCAGGGCCCTCAAACCCCTCATATATTGTATTGTTACCGTCTTGTCCCATGTTCTGTCCCCCTTGCTACTGTACAGCGCTGAGCAAACCCTTTGGCGCTATATAAATACTGTATATTAATAATAATAACTTACTTGTTTGCGTGGAAAATCTAGATCACCGATGGCGAACCTATGGCAAGCGTGCCACAGCTGGCATGCAGAGCCCTCTCTGTGGGTACGCAAGCGGATTAATACCCCCCAGGCAGCCATCGCCAATGCTCATGCATGCTCGAAACTGAGTATATATAATAAATAATATATATACAGTATATATATATATATATATATACACACAGTATATATATATATATATATATATATATATATATATAATAACGCAAGGCTAGCAGTAATTTTGAGTTATGCTGTTGGTGACATCATGAGAGAAGAGCTGGTGAAACTGGTGTTTTCCTGGAAGAAAACAAGGGATAGATATCTACAATGCTGTTATGGAGGCTTTTTTGTCACAAGACATAAGACCAGGAAAAGTGGTTTCAGTTACTACTGACGGGGCACCTTGCATGATGGGGGTAACACCTGGTTTTATACAGTTCTGTGTTAAAGAAGCAAAACATCCAGTCATTCAGTCTCACTGTATTATACATCAAGAAGCTCTTTGTGCCAGGGAAAATAGCAAAAAATTAGACAATATCCTCAAAGATATCACAAAAATGGTGAATTACATCATGGCTCGTGGTCTTAATTTTCAACCAGTTTCAAGCACTTCTTGATGAGGTTCAAGCACAGTATAATACTTTAATATGTACAATAATGTCCGGTGGCTGAGCAGAGGACGAGTCCTGGAGAGACACAGTTGATCACGTGATGTGGTAAAGGCCAATCACAGCGGCCTTTTACCACTTGATCAGCCGTGTCCAATGACTCGCTGATCACCGGGAAATGCAATTGCCAGTTCTCGGCTGCACTTTCCTCACGCTGTCAGAGCGTGAGGAAAGTATTGCCAAGAACCGGCAGTTGTCAGAGCAGGGATCGGCACCGATCATCATATACTAATACTCCACTAGTGTGTGGTAGCGATGGAAGCAGTTCTTGAGGCAGAGACCAGGTTGGCCAGGACAGGAGGAACAAAAAAAGTGGGTGCCACGCCTAATTCCATGTCTGATACAGACACAACATCTTTTTTGGGGTGCCTTTTAGGTTAGGGTACCAGGAATGGCATCGGGAAAATGCCTCTCATGCAGCCGGATCACTGCATCTGGGTTGGGGTTTTGGGGCATAGCACCCTCTGGATACAAAAGGGCCTGGAATTTTTAGGAGGGATCCACTTCGTCCAGTTGCTTTGTAAAGCACAAAAGCATTATATAGAGCCAATTGAAATACAGACACTTTTTTGTACCAGTGTCTGGCTTTTCGAAGTCCACCCCTCCCATGTTAAGGTTATAGTCGTGGACACAGAGGGGCTTCTCAACAACACCAGCTGCTGTGGTAATTTGGATGGTCGTATCTGCGTGAATGGAAGACAGGACAAAAACATCCCGTTTGTCCTTCCACTTCACTGCAAGCAATTCCTCATTTCTCAAGCAGGCTAAGATGGGTATTTACAAGGCATTGGGGGAAGCAGCGGCGATTAGGTCGCATGGTGCCACATGCGGCAATTCCATGATTGTACAAATGTCTAAATAGTGGCATGCTTGAATAAAAATTGTCCACGTATAAGTGGTACCCCATATTGAAAAAGGATGACACCAAGTCCCAAACTATCTTGCCACTGCTCCCCATGTAGTCTGGGCATCCGGGGTCTCCATGTGACTATCTTTTCCCTCGCAAATCCAAAACTTATATAGCCTCACTGGTCTTCTACATTTTGCCCCATATCTGGCACGCTTGCTGGGGATAATTTGTTTGAATGCAAG